GAGAAAGAGAACTTTTCTGGTGGCATTTGGGAAAAGATCATTGCATTTTGAGTTTTTAAATTTTCTTTTAAAGATATTATAAGTAGTTCCTACAATTTTTTACAATGAAAATGGAGGTTTTTATTTTTCATAAATCTGCTAAAATGTGTTGGCAAACTTGAACTAGTTCATAGGATGATATTACCAATTTTTGGTTTGATAGCCTGAGAAGAATTTACTATTTTCTTAGAAAATAGAAGTTGAATTTAGAAGATGAATGCTTTTTCTTACCTGCTTTTCTTACTCTTTTTTTGACTAAAATTTTTGTTCCCTTTTTCTGTTTGTGGGAATCTGACCTGATTCAAGAAAACTTGACTGACCTTCTTTCAGTAGTAATCTTTCTTTCCTTTTCATATGCTTTTCCAGTAGTAACTATACATTCTGTCCTGTGACTGTACATTATTGAGAGACCAATGTATATATATGTTAAAAAATAGAAGTAGCACTCTTTTCTTATTCTGCTATCTGATCATCTCAGATTTCCTTTTCTTACCATCACCCATAATATTCAGACCCTTTAGAAATTAAAAAGATAGAGATTCAGTATTCTCCCATACCTTGATATTATATTGAAAATATTATTTTTATATTTCTTTTATATGTACATAATATGTTTACACATATACATGTTTATATAGGCATACATATATATTTACACAGGCTTTTCCTTCTATAAAAGTATAAGTACATTTATATGCCTAAAATATTTTTATACCATTTAATATAATTCAATCAAATTACTTTTTAGATTTATAGATTAAACAGAAGTGTAGATAACTTTCCCTTTCTCCTTTTTGTCACGAGGAAATACCAATTCTGACCTTGTTTTTGTATTTTAACATCTGTGAAATTTGGATACACATACAAATAATGGCATGGTGTAATCTAATTGTATAACTTTTTTTTTTTTCTCAGCAATATAAATACTTTTTACCATGATGCATCTTCTATCATTGGTGAATTGATGTTAAGGATGCATTGAAAGAGAGTGAATAAAATTGTTTTGTTGAACGTGGGAGTAGAAGAAAATAGTATTTCTAAATTAATATTGTTTTGTCATATATTCCATTTTAAATATACATGTAGTAACCAAATGATTGTGTTTACTATTATATATTGTAAATTAGATATTTGACCGATTTACCTGTATACTGAGTTTGTTTATTTAGGTTGACCCAAAATGGTTTTTTTTGGACTATCTTATTGGAAAAATGGGCTTTATGATATTTTATGTTAGTATCACATGATATTCAGGCATCTATTGCATAGTATAACCTGAAAATGTAAACCTAGGTATTTAGTCTTTATTCCTGTAAATATTTTTCCTTAAATCTTGAATTAATACTGATTTGTTGTGTCTTCAAATATCTACGATAAAGAAATTAAGCCATATGGAAGTTTGACATAAACTGCTGTATAATTCATGAGGAAAGTGTCTTCTTAGAGAAAAAGTTCTTACTTTTAAATATGGATGTGCATCCTCAGTCCATGAAGTAAAGTGTCAGAGAATATGCTCTTAATGTGGTTAGAGTAGAAGAGAGATGACTGGGGCTGCTGTTGGTGGCTCAGAGTAATTATATAATGTGTGTTCTTGCTTGAGGGAGAATGGTCTATGTTTAAAAAATAAAAATACTGAAAAGGAAAAGAAAGATGCCAGCATATTACAACTGAAGATGACTGGTTCTTTGTCTGATCCTGCTTGCTTCAGCCTGCTTTCTGGGGAAGCTGCTTGTTTCTTCTTTCTCCTTGATCAATATCATTGATTTCCTTTAAAAGGAGAGTAAGTTATAAAGCTTTATGTAGTCAGTTCTGTTAGGTTATCTTCCCAAAGTTTCTTGTGGGCACCACACCATATAATTTGTTGCTGTGGTCTTACAGGAATCTGTGTTTAATGGCTACTCTAATGTTTTACCTAAAAGTATAAATATTAGGATTACATATAATTTGATGTGCAGATTTTTTTCTCCCAAAGTTATTTCCCAGGAGTTATACTTTGGCCGGATGTGGTTGCTCATGCCTGTAATCCTAACACTTTGGGAGGCCAAGGTGGGTGAACTGCTTGAGCCCAGGAGTTCAAGACTAGCTTGGGCACATGGTGAAACCTCGTCTCTACAAAAAATTCAAAAATTAGCCAGGTGTGGTGGTGCATGCTTGTCATCCCAGTTCTTTGGGAGGCTGAGGTGGGAGGATCACTTGAGTCTGGAAAGTAGAGTTTGCAGTGAGTTGAGATCGTGCCACTGTACTCTAGCCTAGGTGACAGTTGAAACCCTGTCCTCTCCCCCCCAAAAAAGAGTTATAATTTGATGCTCAAGTGAAATATGATTCCTGAGTAATAAAATAGGTAAAAATTAAATTAATAATTAAAGTTGCTTTCTGGAAGGAATACATTCAGTTTTTTCCCATGGATTTACCCATGTGTTATATAAAAGCTTCCTTACAAAGGAGATTCAGTTAATGTCCCTGTTCATCTAAAATTATTTTGACTTCCTGTGTCATGACCAATAAAATTAAAAAAATCATTGGGAGCAATCATTTAGATTGTTTTTTCTGCCTTTGAACATTGTCTACATTTTAAATTGTGTTATAGATGTATAACTATAAAACTCCATGGAGTTTTATAGATTCCTAAGGAAGCATCATAAAACATATAAATTGTGCCCAGGTGAGATGTCAGCAGGCTTACATTCTTATTCTTTTTGAGACGTAGTTTCGCTCTGTCACCCAGGCTGGAGTGCTGTGATACAGTCTCTGCTCACTGCAACCTCTACCTCCCAGGTACAAGCGATTCTCTTGCCTTAGCCTCCTGAGTAGCTGGGACTACAGGTGTGCACCACCATGCCTGGCTAATTTTTCTGTTTTTGGTAGAGACGGGGTTTCACAAAGTTGGCTAGGCTGGCCTTGAATCCTGATGTCAGGTGATCTGCGTGCCTCGACCTCCCAAAATGCTGGAATTACAGGTGTGAGCCACAGTGCCCGGCTGCTACATTCTTATTCTGGATCTGCCACTCACTCACTATGTGATTGTGAGCAAGTCGTTTTGCTTCTGTTTTTCATCTCTTCATCTTATAACAAATCTTGTCCTTCTTTTTTTATTCTCACAATAGCTTTTTAGAACCTTTGTTTTAAGTACTGAATTATACTTTTGCAAGAAATAACTAAGTTTTAGAAAACATAAAAGTATAAATGGAAATGGTGTTTGCATTCAAGAAATAAATATTTTGTTTTGGATTTTTAAAGTAAAATTTAGATAGTGAAGATAATCCAGATGGTACTGGTCATTAGAAGTCCTATTTGGAGGATTATACTAATTTCAGTGAAACTGATTACTTTTTAAAAAGCAAAAAACTGCTTTTTGTTGTAAAAGGCAATCATGAACTGTAAGGGATACATGCTATGTAGGAATATTAAGCATGGCTGCTTTGCATCTCCTACTGCTAAGCAGCATTGGAAATGAATTGATGTAAACAGACCTGTGTATTCTTCTTCATTATTGCTTTTAGATTGTACCATTTGAGGATTTTGGAAGATCTGGAGTGAGAAATACTGGTTGTTATTAGGATAAAATTGTGTTTCAACATTTGAGAAAATTATTTCAAGTTATTCCAAGTAGATTAGAGTTCTATAGTGTATAGAAGCTGTGTTTTTCTGCTTTTGCTTTTGTTGATTAGCTTGGACCCTTTTAATGGAATGGGTTGGTTAAGGTATAGTCAGTTAAAAGGTGGGTGTCTATATAACTAAGTGTGGCAATTCCTCAAGGATCTAGAAATGGAAATTCCATTTGACCCAGCAATCCTTTTACTGGGTATATACCCAAAGGATTATAAATCATTCTATTATAAAGACATGCACACGTGTGTTCATTGCGGCACTAAACAATAGCATTGACCTGGAACCAACCCAAATACCCATGAAGGATAGACTGGATAAAGAAAATGTTGCACATCTACACCATGGCATATGCAGCCAGAGAAAAGGGTGAGTCCATGTCCTTTTCAGGGACATGGATGATTCTGGAAACCATCATTCTCAGCAAACTGACAACAGGAACAGAAAACCAAACACTGCATGTTCTCACTCATAAGTGGGTGTTGAACAATGAGAACACATGGCCACAGGGAGGAGAACATCACACACTGTGGTCTGTTGGGGGTCTGGGCGCCTAGAGGAGAGACAGTGGGGGCTGGGGAGATTGGGGAGGGATAACACTGGGAGAAATACCTGATATAGGTGATGGGGGGATGGAGACAGCAAACCACCATGGCATGTGTGTACCTATGCAACAATCCTGCAAGATCTGTACATGTACCCAAGAGCTTAAAGTACAATTAAAAAAAAAAAAAAAAAGCAAAAATGATGACTGACAAGCTAAAGCCTATGATGCTGCAGCAGGAAACTGCTCACAACCCATGCCAAGTGCTGGGAAGCTGCATCAGACAGTCTTTCCTGCCACAGAAACCCATAAAACCCGCTGAGCTGAAGCAGCCCTTTGCCTTGGTTATTAGCGTATTTCCTTATTATAGGTGCTTTAAATAAATCTTCAGTAGTTAAAAAAAAAAAACAAAAACTAAGTAGACTAAAATTGTGCAGTTACTTAATGCCAGTTCTAACTACTTAAATGAGAATGAGATGCCTATACTTCCCTATTTTTCTTAGAGTTGAAGAAATTGTTTTGTTTTTTTTTCCTGTCTCAGGAAATGGTAAATTTTAGACAAATTTTTTTTCTTTACAAACTTTCATTAAAGTACAGTGGTGTAATCTAATAAGAAATTTGTTGAGAGTTGAAAATCTGAAATAACTGTTTTTTTAGTGACTGTGCAGAATTTGTGACTCCTTCTCTTCCCTAATCCTGCATATTATGTTTGCCTATGTCCATGAATAATATTATTTCTGAATATTGTCCTTATTAATTCTTTCTAACTTTCTCTTTCACATTTTCTTCCTGGATTTGCTGTTTCCTTCAGTCTCACCTCAAGGTCAGTATGCTTGTATGAAAACAAAGATTATGCGATTGAGCATTGTTTGTGAACGTTACCTTGAATTCTTATCGGGAACTGAACTTATTCCAGGAGAGAGCTGTCTAGAAATCTAGGTGTGGCTATAAAATGTCAGGAGTATTGGGTTTATCAGAAGAGTAGGTTCAGATTTTTGTCTTTGAAAGGTAGTGTGAATATCAGAGATCAAGAGCCAGATGGCCAGCTTTTTTGACTGAGAGAGAAGTGGAGATGAAAAGAGCAATCAAAGGAATGAGGAGCAGGGGGGAAAATACTGTGTTAATTTAATTAAAAATTCAACAGAGACATTCTGGCTGTTAAGCAGGATGAAGCGTAGCAAGAATGATGGAGGGAAAGTCACAACTGTCTGTAGTTTTATAGAAGAAACAGTTTCATTTACTGAGACTCGCCTTCAGACACATATACTCCTACATCTTTTAAATTTTGGTTTCATTTTGTGATTCTGCTAGTGATAGCAAAAACAACCACCATTACTGCTACTTATATGTGCCAGAGGCACTGTAGTAGAACATATTTTGTTTCAGTTCATGAACATATTTTGTTTCAGTTCATCTCAGCAACTATTTGCATTTTTTAGGTGAAAAAGCACAAGTGCACAGATCATTAAGTAACTTCTTCAGTAGTAAGTAAATAGTAAGAGAAGTGGCACAAAACAATCAGAAATTTGCATTTAAAAAGTTCTTTATTGTGCATGAGTCATGGCAATACAAAGTGTGAGGATTTCTGATAGGATTCAGAAATGAGCCTGTTAATATCAGATGTGTTTTACCTAGCAATTACCTAATAATAATAATGATAATCTATACATTTTAATGCATTTGCTGTTTTTTATAAAAGCACCTGTTTGACTCTCATAGCTAGCATATGGGTTATACTGGGATGTGTTAAAGAGTTAGCCCCCCACTTTGGGAGGCTGAGGCGGGTGGATCACGAGGTCAGGAGATCAAGACCATCCTGGTCAACATGGTGAAACCCCGTCTCTACTAAAAATACAAAAAAAATTAGCTGGGCATGGTGGCACATGCCTGTAATCCCAGCTACTCAGGAGGCTGAGGCAGGAGAATTGCCTGAACCCAGGGGGCGGAGGTTGCGGTGAGCCGAGATCGCGCCATTGCACTCCAGCCTGGGTAACGAGCAAAACTCCATCTCAAAAAAAAAAAAAAAGAGCCCCCCCAAAAAAGAAAATAAATTGAAAAAAAATTTGTGGCCCCTCCCCCCATTTTGAGTAAGCTGTATTCTTACAGTGTTTGTAATAAAAACAGCAAACAAATATTGCATGTAAAAAATGATTTTCCTATTTCTATTCTAAACATTTTCTTCACATATTATAGTAAAACGGTATGAGTACCACTTAAGTAATTCCAATTACAAAAAATCTGAAAGTAGTTGAGTTTTAGTAAAAAAAATTTCTTGAAGTGTTTTGCCTTGTGTTTAGAGAACGTTCATCTCTAACTTAAGTTTCAAGCTGACTCATATTTTAGTCGGAAATAAGTTTATTTTCCAACGAATACAAAATAAAATAGCTATTGTTTTTTCAGTGGCAAAGGTCATCTTAGCGGCAGTATGCAAAAGTTTAAAGTCTCTCTTCATTCCAGATTATAATTTAGTGCAGTATTTTTTTTCTAGACAGAAACATTTTACCATTTTAATTATGATTTTGCCAAGTCCAGTTGTATAGATCATCAAGAGAGTATAATTTATTACTGCTTTGATATTGGATTGGGTGTTTGAGTGACTTTATTATATGACCTTGGGCAAGATCCTTAGCCTTTCAGTGTTTATTTTAACCCCTTCTTTTGTGTGAATAGTGATGCTTAGCTGTAGTATTTGTATTTTAGTGTCTCCACTGAGCATTTCCATTTTGGATAGGTTTATTTTTGTTCCTCTCTTCCTCCCTTGTCTTCCTCCCCTGCTCTCCTCTGTCTTCCTTTGCATTCAGTACAGTGTAGTGAGATTTTTAGAGCGATATCGACTGACGACTCACATTTTCTGTCTTCAGACATATACATCTTTTTATTTCCTGTTAATGACATTAGCACCAGAGAATGAATACAAAGAAATTATTCCATATATAGATGAAAATGTATGATTTGATTCAGAATTCTTCTTTTGGTTAACGGTCACTCAGAGGTGAGAGCTGTAAATGTTATCTCTTTATTCTTGTTAATATTTAGGTCTAAAATTGAGTTTAGTATTATTAGTATCTATGTTTCATATCAGTTACCATTGTAGACTGGTTTTCAAAACAAATGTTTGGAATATGTGTGATAGTTCCTACCACCTTCATTAACCCATTTATGCCGAAGATTGCACTTTTTTTGTGTGAAAAATCAGATCTTCGCGATGGCATTGAGCAGCAGGATATAAATAAGTCCCACAAGCTTAGCATTCCAATAATATAACACTAGGCATAAATGTGTTAAGACCAGAATCTTTATGTTGTTAAAAGTTAAAATACTTTTATACCTTGCTCAAAAAAAAAATCCCATTGTTATAGTCTCTTTTATATAGTTTGATGAAAACATTTTACATTGATTTCTAAAGTCTAACTCAAATAGTTCTTTCTCTGCACACTTCAGAAACATTTTTTACATTATTGCCTGAGTTTATTAAGAAAAGGCACTAGGGCCGGGCGCGGTGGCTCACGCCTGTAATCCCAGCACTTTGGGAGGCCGAGGCGGGTGGATCACGAGGTCAAGGGATTGAGACCATCCTGGTCAACATGGTGAAACCCCGTCTCTACTAAAAATACAAAAAATCAGCCGGGCATGGTGGCGCATGCCTATAATCCCAGCTACTCAGGAGGCTGAGGCAGGAGAATTGCCTGAACCCAGGAGGCGGAGGTTGCGGTGAGCTGAGATCGCGCCATTGCACTCCAGCCTGGGCAACA